TCAATACATAGACTGGGTAGTCTGTAAGGACAAAGTTTATAACCAAAAACGGGTCCACAAAGTGACCAGAATTGTCAAAACTTTCAATGATTGAGCTATTGCCAAATTTCCATTCCCGGAGCTATCTATAGACAGAGTTACAAAGATGTATGGGTATAATACATCATGCATATACATTATGACCAAGAATTAGATAGTACAATTCTCAGTTGACCTTGGACTTTCAGTAATTATAATGCGTGGCATTCTTGACATTACATAATTACCGTCTGAAATTTACACAGCTTTCGTTCACATGGGATAGAAGTCGGTATGGGAAAGATGTGGAGCTTAAGTCATCTCATGGTTGTCAACAGCAATTTAAAAATCCTGTTGTTATTAACTTCTTAACCAATGAGAATCTCTTGGCCATTTGATGGACACTTATTACGTAGCGCCGAGAATGCCACGCCATACTGAAAGTCCAAGGTTAACTTAGAATTGTACTATTACATTTTTACCTAATACACCTTTAACATGATAGTACTTTTTATCTTAGATTTCAAGCAAGTTTTGAACATTTTTAATTTCAAGGAAGTTTTTACTCAGTATTTACTTTCTGTCGCAAGCCTCAAATTTAGTCTTTGATGGACTACTGTACAGCAGGAAATTAACTCGCGGAGTTAATTTTCGCTATATTCGCGGAAAATGAAATTCCGCGAATTCAACATACAGTGAATAATTCTTAAAAAGTTTTATAAGGATAAATTGAAATTTTATTGTTTTCTGTGATTAGATGTAGACTGTCTTTATAATTATGCGAGTGTCTGGATCAATTATAAACACGTAGTTGTTGCTGTTTTAAAGCTTATTAATTAGTTATTCATTTCTATGGCTAACGATTAAATTTGCCATCTAGTAGACGTGCGATGTAATTATCTAATAAAACATGCTTGTTTAATTTCACCCGTGCGTATCACTCAGTCATTACCTTTAATCAAGGCATTTACTTAGTAAACAGGGTAACGACAATTAATTAATTTCAATTAAAAGTTCAACATTTTTACTACGGTATAATTTTTTTTCTGATTTGGACCTGGAAATTTAAAATATTAAATGCGTAGCATTATTTTGACTTCAAATCGGGATCAGTCCGGTGTTTCTTTATTATGCAATCGGGATCAAAATCGCCACAATATATAGACTTTACTTTTCTGTCTGATATGCGCAATATACATTACAGACTTTAATATTGTACTACAGAGACGAGAAATAGTAGTTCAGACAATATATTCCTACAGCAAAATGCTTGCAAGTACTGTTTAAGAAATTTATGGTTTTTCCTTTTCCGCGAATTCAAACTACCGCGATTTGCTGAAAATTGAACAAATCGCGATCTTTTCCGACCGCGATTTTAACCTGCTATACAGTATGTAGACTTGTCCTGTAGTCCTATGAGTAAAACACATAAGATAATTGGTGTTTTGTTGGTGTATCTAATATTGTATAGTAGGTCAGTCCAGTTTCTAGTTTTGTGTTCCAGGCTTTTTAAGTCCAGTGGTAATTGGCAATCGCTGTGAGCATCAAGTCCGTCCGTCTAATCGGGTCTCCTAATCCGCGCGCTGCCTTCTGATTTCCTCCAGCTAATGGCTACAGAGAGAACACACAGAAAAAATAAATGTATTGAGAAAGTTATTAATATTTTTGATTTAATTCATTGTGAGTGGGTTAAATGGTTTCCCTGATCTGAGATTAATCAGATAATGCTGTGTGAGTCGAAGCAATTGTTTCTCGGCATCTCTATGTAAATGACGTACAATATTCATATTGCGGTATTTTTTTGTGACTTTCTATTTCATTTCCTGTTTTTTTCCATGACTTGGTTTTTCATTGTAATTTTTTTTGTTGGGAAGACAATTTCCATTAAATTAATGTAAGAGTTGTTTCACTTAATGACTACGACTGTCGCTCTCTATTAAAAGGCTGACAGAATCCTTGACATTGGTTAACGGGCCTTTCATCTTTGAAATTCATTAGTTTTAAAAAACCTTGATATTAGATGACATTTAGTTAAAGAATGCAAAATTGCTGTGTCATCAGCTAATTACAAACTTATCTAGATACAAGGGGCTCTCAGTTTTTTTTAAAAAGCCTGTTTAATTATAGTAAAATTAATGTCTTTTTGATCAATGAATGAACCTTGGGTTTTTTGCTAAAACAGGCACCAGGTATCGGAGTTTACCAAATACATCAATACATAATTAAGGAATCACTGTCTAGTTGGTATAGTATGCCAGGGACATCAACGATAGTGGGAAACATTGGATAATTTATGCATAACGGGCTTCGCCCTTTATGCATAAATTATCCAACGTTTCCCACTATTGTTGATGTCCCTGGCATACTATACTAACTAGACAGTGATTCCTTATATTTCCATTTCATTGTGAAATAAAATTGTAGATTTAGATATTAAAAATATGTAGACATACAGTGGACCTTCAGATATCCGGACGCCAGATATCCGGATGCTTCAGTATCCGGACGATTTTTCATCGGATCAAATTTTTTAAATGTTATTTTGTCTTGTTTAATTGGTGATTCAGATATCCGGATGCTTCACATATCCGGACAAATTGACTGGGAACCAAACCGTCCGGATAAATGAGGGTCCACTGTATATTTAAATTACACGATGAATCTCATGTCAACTTCAATAGTCCTCACCCACTGATGTCAAACAAAAATGCAGCTGCACTAGATTTACATGCATATTTGGCCTCCTTAGCGTCAAACACAAGAGACAAATGCGCACGATATTTGCATGTGTTTTAGGCCTCCTTAGCTCCCGACCTATCAACCTGCCTAATTTACATTCCGGTAGAAATTATCATTATGACAAGAAATCAACTCTGCTAACTTTCAAAGAGTTATCACAGAGAAGAAAACTAGAAATGGAAATATATAATTGTATCCTAAATATTATCAAATATTTATATTTGCAAATATCTTTCTTAGATGAACCTATTGAAGAGAAAATGTGTTCAATTCTGTGTGCATGTTATTTGGGGGTCAGAGGTCATAGCGCGACCGAACCATAGAGCGAGGTGATATTTTGTCAACATTTATCTGTCACGGTGCAACTTGTTTTGGAACATTTCAAAGTTAATAATGGTGAAAAGGATAAAACGATAAACAATATGGATATTTTTCAATCACGAGATGTACAATAAATTTTCTATTGATGTGAATAAAGTTTTGAATACTATAATGCCAAAAACAGAATGTATCTTTTTAACCTGAAATTCCTTTAAAGTTATGTAAACTAAAACAGGCGATACCACCGCTTTTGACTTCAAGTATTGTTAGAACTTTTGAAATAGTTAGATTATTCTCAGCAGTGATCATTGTTCTTTCACTATATACTAGGGAAGTCAAATCGGTCAATTTTCAATACTCGGTTAATCGGACGTTTTTCCGATCGAGTACCCGGGTACTCGGTAAAAGTGTAAGTAAATTGAAGACTGTAAAACATTGTAAACTCTCTTAGAAATAAAACCAGATGCACTTATAGGAGGTTAGCTTATCCGTAAATGTATTTCTGTTGTAATAATGATGAGCACTTCGTGCCCGATGAAATTTAATATAACAATTTTTAAATTCAATTTATTTATCAGATAAACACAAGAAATAAAATCATAAGTTGTTCACAGTGTTTTTGTTTTAAAAAATAATCTGCTGCGTAATTGTATAATGTAACTCCTTGTCGCGTTTGACGACCAGGTATCAGTCGTCAGAGCTACGTACAGTATCAACTTGAACTTGATCAAGTTCTCCTAATAGAGCGGATTTACGATTTTAGTACACTTGTTCGATCCGAGATTTATATAGTATTACGGGACGGTATTTTGTAGTTTGATGCAACGATGGACATCATTTTTTTTTTAAAGTCTTTGCCTTCAGCCAGTTGTATTGGCATGTAATCAAACACAACCATATCAACAATCGCACGTGTAATATCATCCGCTCTTTTCCCGAGAATTTACGGCTTCTCGGAGAATTGACAAAATTATCTAATTTATTTAAACATAATGGATCTTAAACGATGTTCAGTGAAAACAAATAATTAAAGCCAAACAAAAAATAAGGGAAGAAGGCAGCCGCAGGTGAGAAAAGCCAGGTACCCCAGGTACTTGGTCACGATAATTACTGTATAAACACTGCCACAGGCGATAACGGTCATTTAGAGTCATAGTAAACCCTAATTACTGTATGTACAAGTGCAATGAGCATTTTACGCTTTAAAACGGATTGTTTAATGCATTAATAAATAAGATTAGAAATATTCAAAAATATACACCCGAGTAACCGAGTACCGATTTTAGTATTCGATACTCGGACGTTCGATCGAGTACCCGGTTAACCGGGTACTCGTTGACATCCCTACTATATACAGATATTTCCTGAAGTGGACTGCTAAACATGAATGTAAACATTCAAATGTTGGAGTGAGATAAGTTAACTTTGACTAAACAACTTTTAGGTCATTGCGCGTCACAGCATAGCAATATGGCAACCCGTTCGTGTAATAAATGCAATTTTACTTGAAATTTATTTGCATATCAAATGTAGATATAAGTAATAAACAACAATGTTAAAAAAGTTCTCTGGAAAATGAACTTTTAGTTGGTCACGTGATCAAATCCTGTGAAGCCTTCGGGTTTCTGATCTGATATGTGCTTTTTCCTAGCCGATGTGCTCAGGTGAGCGCTGTGGCCCCTGGGCCTCGTGTTTAGCACTTAATATTTCAGTTGTTTTTCAGTCTCCACAGTGTAATTTCGCTAGGATGCTTTTTGATTGAAATTTTTGGCACCAGGGCAGGATAGTTTTGAATTTTGGGATAGAGTATGTCCAGAATATGTGATAACATTTTACATTTACCTTGATTTGGTTTGGTGTCAATGAAGGCCAAGAGCCTAATTGTGGATGATGAAATTTTAATATATTATTTTGTATTTTAGCTCCCTGTGATCTCAGCTTCTGTCCTTTCCATGCTCATTGTATCGTTAAGGAGGACAAGGCGTACTGTGAATGTATAGATAAATGTTCCTCAGACGGTCAGCTAGTCTGTGGAACAGATCACACCACCTACAGAAACCTGTGTTACCTCAAAAAGGCCAGCTGTGAGGAAAGGAGGCGTGTCAACCAAGCCTACACAGGGAAATGTCGGACAAGTAAGTACTGACAACTGTCAGGGAATGTCTCAAAACAGGTAGGTAGACTGTCAACCAGGCCTACACACGGAAATGTCTCACAAGTAAGTTACAGCTGTCAGGGAATATCTCAAAACAAGTAGGAAGACTGTCAACTGCCAGGGAATGTTTCAAACCAAGTAAGTAAATTGAAAATTGCCAGGGAATGTCTTAAAACAAGGAAGTAGATTGTCAACTGCCAGTGAATGTCTCAAAGCAAGTAAGTAAATTGTCAACTGTCAGGGAATGTCTTAAAGCAAGTAAGTAGACCATCAACTGCCAGGGAATGTCTCAAAGCAAGTAAGTAAACTGTCAACTTTCAGGGAATGTCTTAAAACAATTAAGTAGACCATCAACTGCCAGGGAATGTCTCCAAGCAAGTAAGTAAACTGTCAACTGTCAGGGAATGTCTTAAAGCAAGTAAGTAGACCATCAACTGCCAGGGAATGTCTCAAAACAAGTAAATAAACTATCATCTGCCAGGGAATGTCTCACAACAAATAAGTAGATCAGCAACTATCAAGGAAAGTCTTTTTAAGCGCTAAGCGCAGCGCAAAGCGCTTTCTGTCAGCGTAAATCTAACTCCGTTCGCGATCCAGCGCCACTTTAAGCAAGTTAGATAACTCCCTCCACTTGTTATTCTAAAAATGTGCAACTGGAAATCCCTGAGTCTCTTTATGCTTCTTTAGTGCAATGCTGTGTTACGCGCATTTCTAATAATAAGAGGCAATTAGTTAGGTAAATAAATATTCCACAATTAGTAGATAAGAGCAGTTCTTATCATGCTCTTCTCTATACATTGTAGTTCATTTAAATCATGTTGACACACATTACTTTTGTACCATGTAGCTAACAATTGCTGCATCTATGGCGCAAATACTTAATTAAAAGCAGTATATTATTTGTAATGTACATGTAATATAATGATTGAGGAAGTACATAATTTAGAACTCAAATGGGATTTTAATAATTAAGTTTTAAATCTCAAACTGGAAGCAAGTTACTAGTGTTCAGTATAAATAAATAAAATTGAATATCTTTGTACTGCTTACATAATATGGTGTGTTCTATTTAACTTATACCCATATAAACTATTATTTTTTTCTTCTAGACCCTTACTTCAGTCAATGTAACTAATACAAGCCTTCCTATTAACACAGGTCTTGCACCATGCTGAGAGCTATCATTGAAGTTGATTTTCGCATCTAAGTATCAATTAGTTACAGACTGCGATGCACCCATACACTGTCTTTTTAATGTCTTTACTTGTGTAAGTGTTGTACCCTATACTTGTATCATATGGGTAAAACATATTATATAAATAATTCGAAAGGAAAAACAGTTTGTGGGTGTACATACATGTAGGGTATGTGGTGGCTGTGTTTTCAACGAATCCATTCAAATAATAAAACTTATTTCTTGGAATATTGTGCTTTAAAATTGTGTGTGTAGTGTGCAGGATGTGCCGAAAGATGCTAAAACCTTAATTAACGTTCTTAGCAATGGACAGGAATATGGCTAATAAAATGTTAAGCAAACAGTTTAATAAATGAAATAGGAAACTAAGGAAGAAACATTTATGTAAAAATCTGCCTCAGCCGTGTTGCCGATTCTTAATGAAGACTAAATAAAAACAGAATAAAACAACGGTGTATACCTTCATGAAGATTGAGATAAATACTGTACATGTATTTTCTTTCTTGGTCTCTTGAATTATTTATCATTCATATAGCAGAAAAATTTTGAGCAATTATTTTCAATATTCCTTTTCAACTAGCACAACAATGCTGTAGATATAATTTTCCTCTCAGCATGTTTTGCATGGTAGTGAAGATCATATAAACACAAGTAAAGAGTGGTGTAAAGCATCAATTAAGCGTCCGTAAAAAATATTGAAGCATTTTAAATTATTTCAACAATAGTCAAAAAATGCTTTAGGGGGTTTAATGGGTTTTTTTTATTCCAAAGAAGAAAAGTGTAATTTGTTTATTGTAAAAAAGTAATTTTTACAAATGATTAAAACATATTGTGAGATCAACACAAATGTTACTGCAAATACGCCATAAATCATGGATTTGAAAATCGGAGATTAAAGGATAGCATCGAAAGATAAATAATTATAATATATTGAAACTCAAATTTATATTTACCTATTTGTATCTCTGGCAAAAGGGCATTAATTCTACGGATGTTCATTTCATCTACATAGAGTTTTGTCACATGACGATGTTACAAACATGATTTCAATCTTCAATTTGAAACACTCGTAAAGGCGGAAGATTCTAGCTTTCAGTGTTGAACACAAATGAGAGGAATTTTAGCGACATTTTCAAGTTTCAAATTTATTTCAAAATATACATTTTCAATCAAATGTAGAGCTACATGTAGATTCTAAATTTCATCGGAAAACCCGGTTACCATCTCCCTTCCAATAAATTGCAATTTATACGCAAATATTACCTCTAATAGATTCCTACAAGGGATAGGGGAAAGAAAATATTTTACACGGAGAAACATTTTCTTGAAATTTTAGGTACATGTATATGAAATTGACTGACCTTTTGGCAGATGAGGAATATGTAAAATGCCTAAAATAAAAAGGCATGAGACAATGTTGAATTTCATAATCCAACGGGAACTTTTCAGGACTCACATATTTGATTATGTACCAAACAACTGTGCTCGCGTGCTCTCACACTGTCAGCATATTGCTTAAACTTCAATAGAACAGGAAATTTAAATTCAAAATAATTCTGATAAATTTCAAATCAATATGCTTAGCGCTTCCCAGTACTTTCAGTACTTTGATTTTTATTGGTGTTAAACAAATGCACCTTGATTAAAATTCTTTTTACACACTGGGAGGAAACCACTGCAAATGGGAAAGTTAAGATGATACAATGATGATAGGAAAAGTCTTTGAGAGAGTAGAGAAACAACTAGTAAAAATTCATTCTTGTATAAAAAGTTATATTAATGCTTAAGAAAATATTAGTATAAGGTATGAAGAGGTTGAATACAAATACTGATGATTTGTATTTAGTTTATGATACTCAGTTATATTAATGATACTCAGTTATATTAATGTATCAATAAGATGAGGTTCAGAAGGTATTATCTTTGTCCAGAGCACAAGTCATTTCTTGACCACTGTTCATTATAAGTACCCCTTAATCATTTGTTAATATAAAAATAATTTCCTTCAAAAGTAAGTCTTCTGATGCAAGTTTTTAGGTCACCTGAGTCACTCAGGTAACCTATTGCTATCCGTTTTTGTCCCTCGCCGTGCGTCGTCCGTCGTCCATCGTGTGTTAACATTTGAACATTTTCAGCTTCTTCCCTGAAACCACTGAACCAATTTCAACCAAATTTGATATACAGCATCTATGGGTGAAGAGAAACAAATATTATGAATTTTATAGTCCCCGCCCCCCTGGGGCCTGAGGGGTGGGGCCAAAACCACTAAAATTAATGAAATCTTTAGAAATTTTCTTCTTTACTCCTGTACATTAAGCAGTCAAACTGTTTGCATGATTGTAATCAGCATTGAGTCCTCTACCAAAATTGTGAAAATCATGGCCCTGAGGTCAGGAGTTCTAGTGCTAGGGCGGGGCTACAGTTGTAAATAAGTATATAGTGAAAATGCATTATTTCTTTGAAAATCTTCTTCTCTGCTCCTGGGTATTAAATAAACTAATTAAGTACATAGTTATGATGAGCAAGAGTGCCTCTACCAAAACTTTGAATTTTATGGCCCCAGGGTCAGGTGTTCTGGTGTTAGGGCGGGGCTCTATTGATTATATAGTGAAAATACATGAATTCTTTGAAAATCTTCTTCTCTGCTCCTAGGTATTAAATAAACTAACTAAGTACATAGTTATGATGAGCAAGAATGCCTCTTCCAAAATTGTGAATTTTATGGCCCTAGGGTCAGGGGTTCTGGTGTTAGGGTGGTATTAAATAAACTAACTAAGTACATAGTTATGATGAGCAAGAATGCCTTTTCCAAAATTTTGAATTTTATGGCCCCAGGGTCAGGGGTTCTGGTGTTAGGGTGGGGATCTATTGGTTATATAGTGAAAATACATTAAATCTTAGAAAATTTTCTTCTCTCCTCGTGGGTTTTGAGCAGATGAACTACCTATATAGTTATGATGAGCAAGGGCCCTAATCTTCCAGAATTGTGAATTTCAAGGCCCCTGGGTGAGGGGTACCATAGAGGGGGGGGGGGAAGCTGTAGTTATATACTGAAAATGAATGAATTGTTTGAAATCTGCTCCTTGGTATTAATCAGATATTTTTGAAAAGCAAGGATGCCTTTTCAAAAATTGTGCAATGTGTGGATCTAGACCTAAGGGTCAGGGGATCAGTCATGGTAGGGACACTACTGATTATTGCTGAATATTACTGATTAGTTGAAATGCATTTTTTGTTCCCCAACCCTGCCTATGGGTATTACGTAACCAAACTAAGCAACTGCTAAGTGTATTATAGTTATGATGATCAATGGTGCCTCTTTCAAAATTGTAAATGCCATAGCATCTGGCTTAAAACATGAATCAAATTCAATCACTGGAAAGTTGTTGCATAATGCTCAGGTGACCTATAAGGCCCATGGGCCTCTTGTCTGTAATTTTAACACTGTGAAAAAGACAATAGAATTGATTTATGCTTGACAATAATAGTGAAGGGAAAGAATCCAATCTCTAAGATTTGTCTTTCCTTTACCACTGTTACAACACAATACAAAGAATTGGATATATCTTAAAAATCTTTTGGAGAATTGAGTGTGCTGTCCTTTCCTTAAATAGAAAAATTCAATGGATATTTTATAAACTTGCTGCAGAAAATAGCTTTTTTATGTGTTCGAGGGACAGGAGATTAGCTGAATTTGATACTCAAGTCTTTGAAGCACAGCGGAGATGAGGGAGAAATGCTTATGGTATTCATTACTAATACATAATAGGGTTGTACAGCTGACTATTGATTAAAAGCATACATGTTAACTCTCCCGATTTAGGCGGGAGTCTACCGCTTTTTCACTCCATCTCCCGCC